TTGGTTTTTTTTATTCTATTCTATTTAATCACTGCATGGAGAAGTAGCCAGACAGTTTACAGTGGCTCATGTATGTGAAGAAACAGCTGGCTAGATGGCTGAAAAAGCTTGGAGAGCAGAACTGTGATGCTGATGTGCTGTCCAGGAGACCCCATCTAAAATCTCAAACTTAGCTTGTGGTGAACCAGCCAGGAGAACAGTCCTTCAATATGGTGGAATGAATTTGCCTTACTGGAATGTGCAATGTTACTTCATTCCAAGGTTGGACTGTGGATCAGCTGTGTGAGGCGCAGATGGTCAACCCAGACATTGTGCCAGGGAAGGAACATCCTACCTATGAAGAAATTTCATCCTTTTCAGTTCAGACATTAAATCATACTTGAGCCAGTGGACCATGTTATACTTCAAAAAACACATTCTGCTGTGATTCTTCTACTACATTATATCAGGGGGGTTAAGGCTAAGTATTCAACAAACAAACATAAAGTATGTGACATAAACTTGGGTAACAATTTTAATTAAATCATTTTCTGGAGGTTTAAATTGACCCCAAGGATAAAAGATGTTAGTAAATTTGAAGGTAACAGGAGGGTTATGTAGTTTTTTTTTTACAACAGGTGTTGTCACAAAGCAGCTTTACAAAAAAAACAAAAATAATCAGCATTACAGAAAGAAATCCTGGTCCAAGCCCCAATGAGCGTCGCCAGTGGCAACAGTGGCAAGGAAAAACTCCCTAAGAAACAGGAAGAAACCTTGAGAGGAACCAAGACTCAGAAGGGGAACCCATCCTCCTCTGGACCACACCGGATAGTAAACATTGTTAGTACAAAAATGGGGAAAACAGGTGGAGCAAATGATTAATTTGTTTAGTTCATGCAGCAGCAGCAGAAGCAGTGGGGTCAGGATGTGAGGATGAGGTTTGCATGGCGTTGTACAGCAAGAAGCTCGATGATGGTCAAGCTGGTCCAGAGGGCCGGCGAGCAGTGGCACCCGATCAAGGCAGAAGAGGCAGCAGCATCAGAACACACAGGATGGGCAGCTGTTCAACTCGGCAAAGAAAAGAAAGGAAAAACACACAGAGAGTCAGTTCTGTAATGGGTGTCAGTTCTGTAATGGGTGACTGACAGAACTGAAAGTCAGTTCTGTAATGGGTGTCAGTTCTGTAATGGGTGTCAGTTCTGTAATGGGTGACTGATCACAGATTACAGTGTTAGCAGAGCAGCAGAGACTCTGGCAGGTATAGAACTGACAGGGAAAACTAATCACCAAAGGCTCGACTATACAAGTAAGTTTTTAGCCTAGACTTAAACACTGAGGCTGTGTCTGAGTCCCGAACATTAACAGGAAGACTATTCCAAAGCTGGGGGGCTTTGTATGAGAAGCTCTCCCCCCTGATGTAGCTTTATTAATTCTAGGTACTAATAGTGAGCAGCACCTTGTGATCTAAGTAGGCGTGATGGTTCATAGTGAGAGAGAAGTTCACTCAGGTACTGAGGGGCGAGTCCGTTTACAGCTTTATAGGTCAGTAAGAGAATTTTATAATCAATGTGAAATTTAACTAGTAACCAGTGTAAGGTTGATAAAACTGGGCTGATATGGTCAAACTTTCTGGTTCTAGTAGGAACTCTGGCTGCAGCGTTCTGGACCAACTGAAGCTTGTTAAGGCTTTTGCTGGGACATCCAGCCAGCAGGGCATTACAGTAGTTTAGCCTTAGTAAGATTACTCTAGTAATAAATGCATGAACTAACTTTTCTGCATCCTGTAGAGAGAATGCATTTCTCAATTTAGCAATATTGCAGAGATGCAGGAAGGCTGTTCTAGTAATATTAGTTATATGTGCATTGAAGGACAGATCAGGGTCTATAATGACTCCAAGGTTTTTTACAGATAAGCTTGATTCAACTGAGAAATGGTTTAAGTGTTAAATTAGACAGTTTGTTTCTGGCTGCTTTTGGACCAAGAAGCAGATCCTCTGTTTTGTCTAAGTTGAGTAGGAGGAAGTTACTCGACATCCAGTCTTTTATGTCTTTTATACAGTTCTTAATCTTGTTAAGTTAAAGTTTATCATCTGGTTTGGTCGATATATATAACTGTGTGTCATCGGCATAGCAGTGGAAATGTATGCCATGTTTACTGATAATGGTGCCCAGTGGTAGCATATATAGTGTGAATAATACAGATCCTAACCGCTATACTGTACAAGACTGTTTTATAAAATGGATTGAAGCCTATCCTCTATCAAATGGTTACAGTGGCTGACTTGCTCAGTGTGGAATGGGTGTGCTGCTTTGGGGCTCCTCTTACTTTGCACAGTAATTAGGGCTCTAATTCCAAGTCTGAACTCTTCCAGAGAATGTATGATTTTTTGGGGATTGAAAAAAGTTTGATGGGCAAGCTGAACATTTTAACTCCACCATGCAGAAGATTTTGGCCAGTATAACTGAATTTTGACAATTGTTTGTTACTTGGCGTCATGTCTCTGTATGCAGTGATGGGCTACTGAGCAATGACACAACTCCACTGGTTTCATGCTGAAAATAATGTTCTTCAGATGGGAAGTAACTGAGACCATAAATCTTGTAACAAGCTTGCCATCAGGCCGTTTAGAAGCCCCCACCCCCCTCTTCAGTATGTCACATGACTAAACATCACACATGTTAAAAGACAGTATGACAAAAATGTCTGCAGAACCTTATATAAAGGAGGTAAAGCTGTAAAGTACCTCATAAAGGGCAATAAGTGAGTGAGAAACAAAGTGAAGAAGTTTCTACCTTCATATAAAAGTCCAGATTTTGTTCTTGGTTTACTTGACAGTTCAGTGTACTGTATCCAAGAACTCCAAAACTAAGCACAAAGTGGTGCATCACAACAAATTGAAATCTTATCACTCCTTTACACTGTTGGACACAGTTGGGTCTTCAGGCAGGTCATAACATAGGAAACAGCAGAAGCCCCACTGCCATGCTTCATGCCAGACTAGACTGGAACCTTTCCCATCTGTTCAATAAAGAGCAGGCAGATCAAGGATGAGCAAATCTTTCTGGCAGGGTCCTGTTAACTCATATAAAGGTACCTCAAACAAGTATAAACCTCTGTCTAGTAGCTATTGCATATGCCTCTCTTTCAGGATTGGATCATGTCCATTGAGCTCTTCAAGTTAAGCTTGAAAGCCATTTCAAAGGGGCCTACATTATGGATATGGATTTATAAGCCAGTTTCTTTTCTGAAAATATAAATTCTCTTAAGGTCTTCTGCCTACAGTTTGACATATTTTGGAAAACATATTGAATTGCCTTTTTTATTTAGTTCACATTGGGCAAATTGTAAATGTTATATTTCTGTTATAACATTCTATATATAACGTTCTGTTATGTCCTGTTTAAACTTAACTAGCAAGCATACAAGTAAGTTTTTGTTATTAATTAATATTATTAATGTGTTTTTTTGCCTTAAAAATTCCTAGGTCTATGCATCTGTGTGGCATCTTTTGAATATTAAAGTTACAGTGAAAATATGAAAATAATCAAGCAAAACTGGCACAACTACATAACAATGAGTATTTAATTTTTTTGTATACAGCACTAAAGTACATATTACTGAATACTTAGTGTTATGTCATGTTTGTGAAATGTGTCTGTTATTATTAATAAATAATTTAAATATTTGTAAAGGCAGTAAAGAGTACGTATAATGCTCCATTGGATATTATACATTAATGTGAACTTTCCTTCAGTTTTAATTTACATGTACATTTACATTTCCTATCTAGAGTGACTTACAATTTGATCATTTTGCACAGGTAGGCAATGGTAGTGTTAGGAGTCTTGCCCAAGGACTCTTATTGGTATAGTGTAGGGTGTTTACCCAGGCAGGGACTGAACCCCAGCCTACAGCGTAAAAGGCAGAGGAGTTACCCACTACACTACACCAACCAACTTAATGGCATTTTAAAACACATAGGTTCACCTAAAGCCAGTAAAGTGCACTTACGATGCTCCATAAGGATTTATACAAAACGATGGTTTTTTAACATTTAAAAGGAATAAAAAACACACACTTCACTTAAAGCTTTCCAAAAGAACAGTTTGGGAAACCAAAGCTGTATGTTATAATGTATATATAATGTATCATAATGCATTACAACAGAAATTATATTGCATTATGAAACTTGACTTATAAACTGTATGTCTCATATACTCTTGGTTTATAAAGTGTTAAACATGTAGCATTATTTACTTATGAGTGATTATGCAGGCTTATTATAAGATATTATATACACTATTTAATGATTATGACTACAGGATTCATAGGAAGTATTACCAAGTCATCTTTAAAAGCAAAAAAAAAAATGTAGATTGTGTAGTTAACTGTAATTTTAAATGTTTATTACTGCATTTCAAAATATATCCAGTAATTGTAGCCATCTCTTTCCAATACAGTTTTTATGAGTCAAATAGATGCCAAGGATGTAATTAATTAAAATTAGAGTTTTATTTGTCATCATCCTAGTTCTATTCTAAATTAATTTTAGCTTTTATTTACTTTGAGTAGTTTTATTTGGCTAGCTTGCAGTTTTTTATATCATGGAAAGCAGAAGTGAGGGCGACATACAGGCTGAGTTGAGTTTGGCGTTAGCTGAGCTACAGATAGTGGAGTGAAGAACTAAGGAGGTTTTGGAGCTAGAGGCCCATCTTAACGTAACCTGAAGTAGTTCAGCAAATTCTCTGCTTGACTGGTACAGCCTGTCCTTCTGAACCTCGTATTATGTTCAGAAGACATTGGTTCAAAGCAACAGAAATGCTGAACCTGTGATAATTTTCATAATACATTTTATTATGCTTGAGAGTGCCACGCCTTGTTCAGTTATTCAGAGTTAAATGCAGCTGAGTGATATCAATCAGACACACTTGTTTAACTGTTGGCTTTTAAACTCAGAACCAGGAAACTGTCTCTGTTTTTCAGTTCAGAGAAACAGAAACTTCACTCCATTCCACAGTGGAGCTGCTGCTGTATGGATCTCTGACTGCGCTGGTGTTTCTGTCGTGGTGATTGTGTATCTGCAGTAAAATGGCCAGTGTTTCAGTGGATCAGTTCAGCTGTCCAGTCTGTCTGGATGTCCTGAATAATCCAGTGACCACTCCCTGTGGACACAGCTTCTGTCTGGGGTGTATTAATGGCTGCTGGGATCAGGAGGGTCTGAAGGGGGAGTACAGCTGCCCTCAGTGCAGACGCTCCTTCACTCCAAGACCTGTTTTATCCAAGAATGTGATGCTTGCTGAAATGATGGAGAAACTGAAGATCTCAGCACCTGCTGAGTTGGTGGATTGTGACGCCTGCATTGGGAGAAAACTCAGAGCCGTCAAGTCCTGCCTGGTGTGTCTGGCCTCGTACTGTGAGACTCACCTCCAGCCTCACTATCAATCTCCTGCCTTTAAGAAGCACAAGCTGGTCAAAGCCTCCAGACGCCTCCAGGAGCAGATCTGCTCTCAGCATGAGCAACGTCTGCAGGTTTACTGTCGTACTGACCAGCAGTGTATCTGCATGCTGTGTACCATGGATGACCATAAAGGACACGATACAGTGTCAGTTGCAGCAGAACGAGCTGAGAAACAGGTAAGAATTGCATTCTACTTTTACTACTACTTCATTTAAAAAATAGAAAACTGGAAGTCACTTCCCCCATCATTGCTGTTGTCTCGAACATTTTTTTTTTACTTTGCTGAATCTATATGTTGAATTTCAGTCTTTTAGCTTTGAATATTTTATCTAAAAAATTTACCCAGCCTAAGTTGAATGTTTTAGGAAATAAAGGAATCTTTCTCTATGAAGAATGATTTTTTTCAAGTCCAGCCTGTCAAGCAAGTTGTCCAAAAAAGATCTTATCTAATCAGATAAAATAGCATTTTTGTTAAACAATGGCTCTGACTAAAACTTTCCAGACACATTCCAAAAGGAGGAATGGTGCATGCGATGTGACTGACTCCAAGAGCTAATTATTCAGTAAACTTTTTTTATGTTTATGTATAATAGTGCTTATTTCATATTGTGCATGTGTGGATGAATTATGGTTTGTGTTTCTGTAGAAGAAGCTATTGGAGACCAAGAGACAATTCCAGCAGAAAATCCAGGAAAGAGAGAAGGAGGTTGAGGAGCTGAAGAAGGCTGTGGAGTCTCATAAGGTGTGTTTGGTTCAGAGTGCAAAGAAAAATTATATACAAAAATGGACACCAAACTCTCTACATAAGATATCTGCCACTATGTTCTTGTCAACAGGAACAAGCATCAGATCAAACCTGAAGAAGGAAAGGGTAGCCACCCAAAAGACTCTAGTCTGTGCTAAACAGCTCATGTTTAGCAAAAGAGTGTCCTACTGAAAAAAGCTACTTGTCTGGCTGTGTGTTCACAAATAGAAATTTGAGATAGAACTGCTCTTGCACCATCAATAGAGACATCTCCTGCCATGTCCAATATGGGCAATATGGAGAGAGCTTCACCAGAATTTTTCAAAAAAAAAATGTAAAAAAGTATCTTAGCTTTGGCAGAACATCCTTCAATAAAGTGCTGGTAATATAAAAGCATTCCTAAAAATGGCCTGATCTGTCAACACAGTGTTACTCCATCAATATCCAGGAAGTCAGTAGGCCAGACACCACTGACTGTTGAACTTTATCAGGATCTGCCTGTATTCCATATGCAGAGATAATGTAGCAAAGAAATTTCACTGTTTTAAGGAGGAAACGTATTTTACAAGTTGTGTATAGAAAGGTAAGAAATTATCTAGACATTCCAAAGCCACTGCTTCTTCAGCACAGGCACAAAAAAGTCAGTGTAACATACTTATTCCCAAAACTAGATATTATTATCCTTTATTAATTGGAAGAGGACTCATTAAAAGTTGTTTTAGTAATCTGTTGTATTCATGAAGGCCAAAAGGGAAGAGGATGCAGTATATATTGTCATCTTTATTTAACTGTAAAGCAAAGCAAGTCCAATAGTTGAAAAAACAAGAGACCATGTACCCTAGCCCTACTCACTATTCCCTGGCTAGTTGCAGAGTAGTTGGAGTTGTTATTGCTGCAGGAAAGAAAACTCTGTTGTGTGTGCTTATGCACCAAACTGTGGTTCAGAGTATTCAGTTTTCTGAATGCGAGTGGGTGGGGTTCTGGAAAGGGCCCTGCCTACACACTCTATAGTCTTGCTGGGAGAATTCAATGCTCAAGTTAGCATGTTAGCCTCCCAATCTAAAGTCAAATGGTAAAATATTGGACTTCTGTGCTAGTCACCGGTTGTCCATAATGAACACCAAGTTAGAACCCAAGGACATTCATAAGTGTACTTGGTACCAGAGCTCCTTGGGTCAAAGGTCAATGATCGAGTTGTTATTTCATCTGATTTGGGACCATATGTTCTGGACACTTGGGTGAAGAGAGGTGCTGAGCTGTCAACAAATCACCATCTGATGGTGAGTTGGATCAGATGGCAGGGAAGACTGGTGGTCAGACCTGGAAGAGGTAGGGGACATGGAGTATGAATGGACCCTTTTCAAAACCTATTTTGTGGAAGCCACCAGGCGTAGCTGTTGCCAAAATCTTGTTGGTGCCTGGGTGGCAAACCAAAAACACCCTGGTGGACCCTGGTGAGGGAGGCTGTCAAGGTAAAGAAGGAAGACTTTAGGGACTTGATGTCCAGGAGGACCCCCAACTCAACAGATAAGTACTGATGGACAAAGAATGTGGCAGTGGCAGCAGTGGCTGTAGCAAAATCCAGAGTGTAGGAGGAGTTTGTGGCGAGGTCATGGAAAAAGAATTTCAGTCGGCTTTTAGGAGGTTCTGGCCAACTGTCCTGTGACTCAGGAGTGGTCAGAGTGCTCAAGCTGTGCTCTGCAAGTGTGGAGAAACTGACTTTAAATGAGGATATTTTTGGTCAGTGGAAGGAACAATTTGAGGAACTCCTAAGCCTAAGAAACATGCCTCCCTCACAGAAGTCAGGGTCTTCTGGTCTTTATGACATTCATAGACAGGGTGTTAAGGTGTAGCCAAGGTCAGGAGAGCATTATGTGTTGAGGCCGGAGGGTGGCATCTCTGCTATTTGTGAATGATGTCCTTTTGACTGCATTGCAGGGATGCCTCCAGTGCTCACTGGAGCACTTTGCAGCTGAGCATGAAGCAATTGGTACGTGGATCAGCACCTCCAGGTCTGTAGAGAGAGGCCTACAGAGTGAGCAGAGAGAGCTACAACAGTCTGCCTCTACAGGTTGCTTCTTGAATCCTCTTGAATCCTTTTGCAATCCTGACTGGTGGTTTGAAATATAGCTTTTCACATTTCAAGCTGACTTTGATCTCTATTTTCTCTTATTATTGTGGACAATAAGCTCACCAGACAAAAAATAAGTCACCTGTGACTGAAATGTACCTAATAACATGTAATACCTCCATGAGCATGAATAACAGCTGTGATTCAATTTGGCATGGACTGGACAAGTTTCTGGATGTAGGCGACATCAATGTTCCCCTGCATCAAAGCTTTGTTCAGTTCAGCCAGATTTCGTGGAGCCTTCCCTGGCATCTTACTCATTATTAGTCCGACAGATTTTCAAGAGGATTCAAATCTGGGGATTTTGCGGGCCAGTCCAGATGTGTGAATGTTCCTGAATGTTCATCATGCCAGTCAGTCACATTTGCAGCCCTGTGAAAGTGTAAAATTGTCTTTTTGGAAAATAGGGATAGGAATGTTATGTTTTGGTAAGATGATGAGCAAAAGGCAAAACCTGATTGTCCAGCAGCTCAAAGTAGGCACTGTGGTTCAATTTTACTGTCACCTCAACCAAAGGACTCATTTCTGTGTAATTAAAACACCCCATAACATCACAGAGCGTCCTCCAGCTTGAATCATGCCGTGCATGCAGTCATCATTGCTTCCTGAGGTCTACAATGAACTAGCATCATTCACATACAGGCAGAAACAAGATTCATCTGACAAAATAATGTTTCCAGTCATGAGCAGTCCAATTTTGTGTGTCTTCGCCCTTTGTAACTGGGCAACACTGTGAGCAGAAGTGAGCAAGGGCCTCTTGCATTCCACTGTACTCCATATGTTCATGGTATTCAGTTCTCTGCAGAGTGTCCTTTCAGAAATTGGTTGTGAATGACTTGCGTTGACTTCTTCAAACAAATTATTGCCTGGAATCGAAGTGATTTTTATTCACAAGCCGTTAAACATGCTAGCAGGCCCTGCTCATGAGTTTAGTCTTTCAACCCCGATTCTGACAATAATTTCCTGTAAACTGGTCATTTTGCCACTGCTGGTTGACCTGTATGACTGTATGCTTTGATACACCAACAAATTCAGCTACTTCCTTCACACTATGGCCTTCGGCACCCAAATGCAATCATTTCTTTTTGCCAATCATTAACATCTGCTTTGCAACCCATTTTCCACACATTAAACAAGACATTCACTGCACTGAACCACCTCTTCTCAATCAATGAATCCTGTCACTCACCCTGCAGGTTTTTCATAGGCCGATCATTCTCGTGCAGCACCATCTGCAGGAGCCTGAAGTTACTACCACCTTAAACATGCAAGGTGACAATATTTTTGTCCCGGGAGCTTATTTTTCATGGACGTTTGAGTTTGTGACTGCAGTACAGGCTAGTGGATTTTTGGGCCTACTAGGCCTTGGACATAGAGGCCTGACTAGATAGGCCTTGGACACCGGCTATCAACATTGATCAACTCCTGGTAAGACAAATTATGTCTCCTAAACACACTAAAACATCTATCTGTGAGGATGACCCCGTTGTCACAATAAGTATACTCTCCAAGTTATTGGAACAGCAGAGTGTTTTACCAAGAGATGTTGCTTCAGCAGCAAGATAACTTTAAATTCTTCATTCATTTGATCATGGATGGAACATGGATGGACAGGATGGAGCTATTAGAGACATACAGGATCTGAAAACTAGCTTAGAATTCACCCAAGATAGGCTTAATGAGACAGAAAGAGGATTTAAGGAGTTTGAAACAAAGATTTTCATTTGAAAATAATGTTTTGATTTTAAATCAAGAAGTGGATGGACTGGACTACATTCAAAATCAGTGCAGGAGGACAAATATTTTAATTTATGGCATTGCAGATGTGAATGTTGCGAATTGGAGTGAATCAAAGAAGACAGTCAATTGCTCTCAATCATTCTGGGACTTGATGACAAAAAATATGGATATTGAGCGTGCTCAGAGAATTGGCCAATACCAAGAGGGGAGCAAGCTCAGGAAAATTCTTGTAAAACTTTTGTGTTATAAAGATAGACAGTGCATCCTTTTTTTCCGCCAAGAAATTAAAGGGTACAAACATTTTTCTAAACAAAGACTGCTCAGAAGTTATTCAACTGAGTAGGGAAAGAGCTGTTGCCCAAGTTGAAATGGACCTGAGGAAGAGGTGACAAAGCTAGCCTAAAATATGATAAGTTTGTTGTTGTGCCCAGAAGTGGACAAACTCAATCAGATGTGCAAAGTGCCTAAGGCAGGGGTGTCCAATCTCATCCGCAAAGGGCTGGTGTTGCTTTAGGTTTTCACTCCAACATAGCAGGAGATCACCTGATCAAATGTTTGAAAACTGGGATGAACTGATTAAACAAGTGGAGTCAGGTGTGCAAGGGCTTATTTCGAGTGAAAATCTGAAGCCACACCGGCCCTTTGTGGATAAGATTGGACATCTCTGGCCTAAGGGTTTAATTTTTCACTTATATAAGAATGTTGTTTTATCTGTAATTTTTCATTGCTTTTGTCTGCTTTTCATTGCAAGAAAATCACATCTAGGCTTCACCTTGAGACTCCAGTACCCATCTGTTTCCTTCAGTTGCTCCACAAAATGGCCACTCAATCCAACAACAACAGAATAAATCAGAGTGATTGATCTGTCTGTATCAGACTCTTCTCCTCTCTCTCTGCTCTAACAGCGCTCTGCTCAGAGAGCAGTGGAGAACACTGAGAACATCTTTACTGAACTGATCAGCTCCATTGAGCGAAGACACTCTGAGATATCAGAGCTGATCAGAGCTCAGGAGAACGCTGCAGTGAGTCGAGCTGAAGGAGCCCTGAGGAGACTGGAGCAGGAGATCTCTGAGCTGAGGAGGAGAAACACTGAGCTGGAGCAGCTTTCACTCACTGAGGACCACATCCATTTCCTCCAGGTAACAGCACCACCAAGAACCTCGACACTGAGATTCACTCAAAATACACTCAAAGCCTGAAATACAGAGGCTGGAATGATCGTCTACTGGTGTTCTGGTCTGATAACTACAAGACGAATTGGTCTGTGTTTAAAAGTGTAAATATCTGGTAGATTTATGTTGGGCCTAAAAAATGTATTAATGCACTGTGGAAGAGTCTCCCATGTAAAAAAAAGGGTTTTTGCCAAATGCTGTTATTGCCATTTCCCTACCTCCTCAATACATTTAAGCAATTAAGAGGACTTTTATATATAACTGTTATACAAAGAAAATTAAAAACAGGTTTAAAAAGCATGTCAAACTCAGAGCAGAGACAATAATAATAAATTTGATAAATTGATGGAGTTCTGGTGAGAGTGGAGTGAAGGGCAGGAAATGGAGAGTATGGGATATAGAATTGATTCAAGACACTATATACAGTACAGACAATAGAAATGCTCAAAGACATTAACAAGCCACACAACTGACAAATATTAAGGCTGAGACAAATATTAAGGATGGAGAACATGAACAGTACCAACTAAAAGAACAGAACAAAATAAGAACTTCCCTTCTGTATTTTAAAGTCTAGCCTAACTACAATCAGTTGCTACCGCGTTCACATCAACTATGTGTCCCAGAAGTCAGAAAACCACCTAAAGTCCATTCAAAACTTCTTTATTAGGTGCAAACATCAGCAGGTCATCTAAGTAGCAAAGAAATATCAGAAAGGTCTGCTTGCCAAATACATTCATCATGAGGTTCATTAAACCTGCTGGACTGTTGCATATTATTCGTAGGAGCCTATTGAACTTGTGAAGGCCCATAGATGTTGTGAAAGTGGTCAGTCTTTTGTCTTCCTCAGCCATTTCAATGTTATACAAACCAGACATTAGATCCATTGTATTGAATATGGCATATCCTCCTAAGGCAGCCAGACAGTCAGACTGATGGGGAAATGAATGGGCATCTTTAATTGTACACGCATTTAACCTGTGGTAATCTATGCATATGTGCAGATTTCCAGTTTTTTCCAGTCAAGTATGAGAGGACTTTTGGATGATCTCTCATTCCTCTGAAAGTAACTGCCTCATTTTCTGGTACTGCACCAGAGGGATGCGAGAGTATAGCAGTCTGAATGGCTGAGTATCAGACAGATGGATGTGGTGGACAAAATTCTTGGTCCTTTTTGTGTTTTGAGAAAATATTTTCATACCACAACATTTACTAGACATTTACTACATTTACTAATTATTTTTTTAAGAGATGAATTAATTTATGTGGTACTGTTAGTAATATTATAACTTCTTGACCCATGACTCTCTGGGGTTCAAAAGTATGAAGTATGGAGTATGAAAGTCTGTGAGTGCCTTGCTTGTCTTTTTAGGTTGTGTCTCAATCCTTTGTGATTTTACCTCTAACCTTAAAAGATTTTATTTGATGAGTAATCCTTGACTTGGAATTTTTGTAGTAAGGCAAGGTAGGGATCCTAGCCTGCAAATTTTGCCATCATCCATTTTGCAGTTACTATTGGTTTACATTACAAAAGCATACTGAGGGAAACCCTCTATTCCAAAATCTATTGCCATCTGTTAGTGCTCTACACCTAAAAGCCACAGGTTAGCCAGTTTGAACCCGGTGACCACTCTTGCCATACAGTGACACCAAACCATATTTATTTCAACACCTCATAAGTATTTACATACTACAAAGACAGAAATAAATAAACTAGTGGCTAAATGCCCAAGAGCTCTGTGCTTGGGCCTGCCACCTCCCTGTCCAGTGACATGTGGTAACTCATTACTAATGAAACTGAAAGATATAAAATGAAACACATAGTAATGAACTAAGAGTAAATGATAGTCAGGAAAAGTATAAAGTGAAACACACAGTAACTCATTACAAATAAACTAGGAGTTACTGATGATCTAGAACAATAATATAAAGTGAAACATATGGTAACTCATTACTAATTTTTTTTTTCTGTAAAGCTGCTTTGTGACAACACCTGTTGTAAAAAGCAATATATAAATAAACTTTGCTTGCTTGCTTGATGATCTAGAACAGTATTATGAAGTGAAACACATGGTAACTCATTACAAATGAATTAGGAGTTAATTATGATGGAAGTGGAAAAGTTGGTTTAAGGATAAGAGAGATTTGAAGAAGTAATGGAAGCAGATTTTTAAGATTCACATAATGGAAATGAAAATAATATATTTGGCACTATATTGTCTCAGAACTGTGCTCCATTGGGGTTTGCAGGAGTTCAGTAGGTTTCTCAGGATTTTGCAAGACTTCAGTGGGGTTTGCAGGGATTTGGTGGGGGTCACTGGTACCATGGAGTTTTCAGGGGTTCATAGGCTTTCAGTGGAGTTTTGTTTTTTAAAAGAAGCTTTATTCTGTTTGCAATTCAAAATCCTGACGCTTGTCAGTGTAAAGTAAATATAAAGTAAAATTAATCTGTTCTATATCTGTTTGCTGCAATTGAATGCTGATGAAATGTTTGTCATGAGCTCTGAAACATTAAGGACATATCAGTAGATTTGAAAGTGTGTTTGAGCTGCGGAACACTGACTTCTTGTTTTTGTTCTCTGTGTAGATTTTACAGTCTCTCTCAGTTCCTCCTGCATCTCCAGAATTAACATTCATCAAATTCAGCCCTATTCTGTCTTTAGAGGAGCTTCTAAACTCTGTGCTTCAGCTGGGGGAGAAAGTGGAACAGCTCTGTGAAGAGGAGTTCAAAAAGATATTAAGTGCAGGTAGGTAGTTCCTACAAACATATCAGACATAGAAGACATTTACTGGAACATCCACACAGCTGTAGGGTTCTTATTGTGCCGTTCATCTAGGCCATTTATCTAAAAGGGATAATGTAGAATTTCTACAAAAAATAGCAAAAAAATAGCAAAATGCATATAATGGTGTTAATGAAATGAGAGAAGTTAAGAAAAACAAATAAAAGATGTTTTCCAAAACAATTAAAACATACTTCATGTGTAAATATGCCAATATGCCATGGCTGATCCGCTGAGCCACAGATCCAACATGATTATGATGTGCCCTCTGAAGTCCAGTGAGTCCATTTGAACAGTATTATGAGTTGTTTGAGTTGTAGAAGATAAACAAACTAGCTCATTAAAAGAAGTGAATACACCCTGCACAGCCGGCACATCAGACGCAGCCTGCACAGCCTGCACATCACATCACAAGTCTGTCCCAAATGCAGATATTTAAATCAAGCTCACCTAAAGCCTTATAGGTCTACCTCTCAGGAGGTCCACAGAGCTTAAGATGCCGTTTGAGACTGGGCTTTAGATTGGATATTTGTTGCTTGCTGTTTAACCGTCAACGACAAATACTCTTACTCACTATTAACCCCTAAATGGAGGGACGGTGCTTACAGTAATAATGCCTTTTCATTCTTATATATGAATAATATGACTAGATTACATTGTTCAGAAACACACTCTCATAAACACACACATTCGCTCTCACTCACATACATACTGTGTTTCTCCTCTAATCGTGTGTGTGTGTGTGTGTGTGTGTGTGTGTGTGTTTGTAGATGATGATCTCCCTCTACCTGAGGGGTACAGAAATATGGAGCAGAAGCAGCGATACCTGAATCATCCAGTAAGATATAATCACCTTTATCAGGTTCTGTATGAAGAGTCTGACTAGACACTGTACAGGGGGTCTCATGGAGAGGGTTTGGGTTTGAGGTTGTCATAGATGTTTCATACAGTGGGAGCAACAGGAAAGTAGAAAGTGTGTCAGTCTGTGTGAACTGTGTGTGTCAGTCAGTCCTGAAGTCTGAACTGCTATCATAATACAGGGTTAAACTGTAATACAGACATTTTATACAGTTTAGCAGGTTCAAGTAGAACCTTTAGACTTTTTCAGCACATTCGGAGATGCAGATCTTCATTTAAATAGTGTTGGTAGATAAAAATGATACAGTTTAACGAATGACACCTTAACATTTTCCATCCTTTATATAACTGAAATAATCAGTAATGCAATTTTCTTATGCGGAAAAGTAAGTACACCCCTACAGATCACAACGGATATCACTACTTCAGATGCGTCAAATTGAAATAAGTTGCACCTGATCAGGTGGTAATGAGAGGAGTCAGTGTGGACTCAGAGTTGAGTCAGTGTAGAGTCAGAGTGGAATATAATTAATGTTATACACCTGACAATAAATATGAATTTGAAATCAGTGAATATTGCAGTCAATCACAGACACAAATTTCTAGCTACTTAATACTTAAATTAAGAGGCTCTTTTGTTACTTAAGAACCCTGAAAAACAACAGTAATTCAATTATAAAATATAACTTGCCTGTTATAAGCTATTATAAGTTTTAAATGTGCATGTTGAGCTGCTATGATGCCATCGTTGGCATAGTGCTAATATAATACTTAATTCCATTAAGGCACTACCAGAAATTATCATTAGTGTATCCGACTCTCAGTGTAGACAGAATTAAAGAGTTCACATGTCTGTGAATATAAGAAGTGTTTTACAGCAGATTCAAGCATCTCAATCAGATTTCAACGCTGTACTGATTACAGACTGCGGGAAGGCAGAACCCTATAAGTGTATTTATAGCAGGTGCCCTGCACACAGATAAACACATATAAACTCATTTATACGCTATCTAAATATATCAAACGCATATAAACATGCATACACACACACACACACACACACACATATATATAATAATAATAATATAGGCTTGGATGCAGTGCCTTTATTTATGTTGTTGCTAAATATGTAGCCTTTAGCATTCTAACTAGCCAGCTGGCTAAGTGAATTGATAAAGCTGTATCAGCAGTCGTGTTTAACAGAATTTTATAAGCTAAAGGTTATTGTTTAGAAATGTTAAATATTTAATAGAAATGTAGTTCATTGTCATAGCCAGCATTTTTGGGTTTGAAAGGGAAATGGGCTTTTCATTGTGTTACCAAACTGACTGAGTACACTTACATGGTTAACTAGAATCTGGGAAATTTGTGTTTGTGTTATTATCTTTGTGTGGACTGTAACCAGTTGATACTGCTAAAATGTAAAATATATATCAGGAGTAAAAAAATAAGCTTGATTTGTGTGTTTAGGTGAAGCCTGAACCTCTCAAAGAGACAGAAGAGGATACAAATAGTGCTCTTAGGATGACATCACTTCCTGTAAGTAATTATATACATTTATAATTTGCTTAATTTTAAAGTAATGTAAAATATATTTTGTCCAGTCTGATGTCAGAGACAGAACAGTGTCCCAGTATGTAAACACACACACACACTTTCTGATGTGTGTGTGTATAAATTGATGTATCATTGTGTATGTATGACATCGTACATTTGCATTACTAATTGTAAACAAGTTTGAGAAACAATAAATAATTTTTCATTAAATAAAAACTCTCATCAGTTAGTTAAACATATGAGACCGTGTACAAAATTCTCCAGAAAATATAAAAAAGTTACCACAGCAGACTGACTGTGAGTTGACATATTCTCTATAGTGAATGTAATGTGTGAAATGTTTCTAGAATTATTATTGTCTGTAATAGCTACTGAAATTCACCCACAGCAGTAGTTGCCCACCCCAGCCCAGCCAGCACCCCTGATTCAAGTCATTTACTAATTAATGTTCTCCTCGTTGACTGGATTAGGTGTGTAGAATAATGAAAACGTAATAATGTACAGAGCCTGGAGTGACCAAGACCAGAACTGGGAACTTCTCTCTATTGTTTATACCACAGCGCTGAGTGTAACCATTAATAAAGCCCTCTGTGGAACTCCAATCTGAAGAAAGTGCTAAATAATCATAGGCAACAGAGACAAGTGATCACAGAGTAGCTTAAACTAGACTCCAAACCAATCATGCAGTCGCTTCTTCTTTGTAGACACTGTTCACAGGTTCTCTGGACTTCGCTGTAATAAGGGTAAAAAAATCTACAGCTATAATTTCAAATGGAGCTTTAGGTGCTAAAGGTTCCTTACATTTATTGTATTTGGTAGACAGTGTTACTCGGTGATTTACAGTTTACTCATGTTAGAGAGGTGAATGTAATGTTGCCGGTACAGCATAGTGTTCTTAACTGGGTGGGGAATTAAACTCCAGTTTCCCGCATGAAGGGCCAAAGAGTTTCCCCACTGCAGTAAACAAAACACTTCACCTGCTGGTTTTACTTTTTCGCAGTTCAACTACGGAGACTTTCCTTCATCCTAAACAAATATACATTTCAATTCAGAAGCCAGTCAGAGTATTATTCTCTGTCAAATAATCCTCTACCTTTTGAGAAATAACCTCATCCTTTACTTTGAGATGTCTGACAAAATATTCTCTTTTATATCTTTCAATGCTAACTCCTCTCTTCTTCCAGTAGCCTAACATCTACTAAATGCCCTAAAATGTAATAATAATAATAATAATAATAATAATACATTATACTTATATAGCGCTTTTCAAGAACTCAAAGATGCTTACAGGTTTTCGAAACACAGAACAGTAAAGACCCTTCCTGGATCGGGGCCTTGTCGTGGTGGAAGGGCTTGTGTGGTCTAGGGATCTTCAGAGCTAAGTCGTCGGGAGCAACATGCTCCTGGTAGGGTCTCCCAGGGCGAACAGGTCTGGAGTGAAGACCCAGACTAACTCGATCCAAAAACCTCCATGAAAAACGGACGCAAAACATCGTGTACCCTGCCCGGGAGAGGGTCACCGGGACCTACCCCTGGAGCCAGGCCTGGGAGTAGCGTCCCTCGGCGAGCGCCTGGTGGCCGGGCAGCCCACGTAACCCGGCCGGGCTCAGCCCGAAGAGGCAACGTGGGGGGACCATGTGGGCCCACCACCCGCAAGGTCCAGCATGGGGGAGTGGTGCAGTGCCGTACAGGCAGTGGGAGATTGCAGGGGGGCCCTTGGTGGCCTAGGCCCCTGCGGCAGAAACTGGCTCTTGGTATGTGGAACGTAACCTCACTGGGGGGGAAGGAGCCGGAGGTTGTGCGGGAGGTTGAGAGGTACCAACTAGATATAGTTGGGCTCACCTCCACCCACAGTATCGGCTCTGGAACCAAACTCCTGGATAGGGGTTGGTCCCTCTCCTACTCCGGGGTTGCACAAGGTGAGAGGCGCCGGGCGGGTGTGGGGATACTCACGAGTCCCCGGTTGGCGGCAGTACAGTTGGAGTTTGTCCCGGTGGACGAGAGGGTCGCCTCAATGCGTATTAAAATCGCAGAGAGGAAAACTCTGACTGTTGTGTGTGCTTATGCACCAAACAACAGGTCGGAGTATTCGGCCTTCTTGGAGCAAGTGGGCGGGGTTCTGGAAAGGGTCCCAACTACAGACTCCATAGTCTTACTGGGAGACTTCAATGCTCATGTTGGCAATGACTGGGAGACCTGGAGAGGCGTGATTGGGAAGAACGGCCTGCCCGATCTAAACCCGAATGGTGAATTGTTATTGGACTTCTGTGCCAGGCATGGATTGTCCATAACGAACACCAAGTTTGAACACAAGGATGTTCATAAGTGTACATGGTACCAGAGCTCCTTGGGTCAAAGGTCAATGATCGACTTTGTTGTCGTTTCATCTGACTTGGGACCATATGTTCTGGACACTCGGGTGAAGAGAGGTGCTGAGCTGTCAACTGATCACCATCTGGTGGTGAGTTGGATCAGATGGCAGGGAAGACTGAGGGTTAGACCCGGTAGGCCCAAGCGAATAGTGAGGGTGTGCTGGGAACGACTGTCGGAGGCCCCT